TGAACTCTAGCTCCCCCTGGCTGCAGATCCAGGAGGAGTCAGGCGGGGTTATTTTGCCCCAAAACAAAGTGCATGTCCAAGCACGTGTGCTGAAGCAAAAAGCCCCGGCTCAAATTTGCACCGCTTTTATTTGAGCTGCTACTAAGCACACATGCTTGCATGTGTGGATGCGCCCATCAAGGGTATTAAGAGCCAATCCAGAATTTTGAAGAGAAAAAGCCCTCAAACTGGTTTAAAGGCAGACGGATTCTATACCAAAAATGACCCACTGAAGCTGTTCCAAGACTGCCTTCTTTTCATCCCCACTCTTGATATCTCCTACTAGTGCATTTGAAAGCAGAAACTAGAAGAGCTTCAGAGCAGCTTTAGTGTCTCATTTCCAGTTTTGACATGTGTAATCAAAAGTGGGTAAGTGTGGCATGGTTGAGTACTACTCTCCAAGACTGACGGGCATGGTATAGTCATACATTCATTTTCTATCCACTTACCGTTAACTTGTCCATTAATACTGGAGTGTCTCAAACCAATTACTTTTTATTTTCTTTACAACACCATAGTGAGCTAGAGTAATTCTATTATTTTAATTTTGCAGATGAAGGCAGAGACTGACCTGTTACAAAGGATCCTTGAGGTACTAATGGAATTAATACCAGACCTCAGGAGTCCTACCCCACAATTCCAACTATACGGCTATCTTTCTTCCTAAACACCTACTAATCAAACACACAAACCTATTAGACAGTCTGATGTAAAAAGATAAGCAGCTCGGAATATTAAAAAACTCTATCTTTGGTTTAATTAGAGTAAAGAGAAGAGAAACAAAATTGATTTGTTTGCGCTTTTCCTGCAGAAAGCAAAAAAGAAACGATGGTTCCTGGAACAAAAAAAAAAAAAAAATTGTTTTTTTTGGCTTTTTCCCGCAAAAAAAAAAAAAAAATTGTTTTTTTTGGCTTTTTCCCGCAAAAAAAAAAAAAAAAAGGAGGGTTCCTGGAAAAAAAAAAAAAAAAAAAAAAATGGTGTAGCACAGGACTGTGCAGCTTCTAAGTGATCAGGGTTGCACACCACATGGATTGTATCAGTCGAGGTCATGGGTCCCTAGGCTGCATGGCACATGAAGACACCCCACTGCATGCCAGTGCGGGCACCCCCAACCCTGCTCATCACACAGCCCTGGGCTCACCCCTCGGCTCAGAGCTGTGTTGCACTGCAATGCTCTGCCCCTGGGGCAGGTGCACAAAGTGGAAGCCTGAGTAGGGAGGTGCAGACAGAGCAATGCGGGGAGCCGCAGCCAGGTGAGACTCTGAAGGCTGCAACTTAACACCTTGCAGGCCATCAGTTGGACAACCTTGGTCTAGCATATGTTCCTGAGACAAACTGCTGCTTTGCTGAATGCATGTTGTTAGTATGGGGACAGTCACAGTTTGATCCTTAGAATGTGAGGAAGCTATATACATAACTATCAACAGAAACATAAATAAGGAGTTTTTATAAAAGCTAAGAAAAATATGACATGATAAAAATGTGTAAGCAGGGGAGGGTAAGTGAGGCATGGTTGAGGTGCATGGTATAGTGATATCTTCATTTTTTATATCTGCTTACCATTAACTTCTCCATTAATACTGGAATGTGTATCTTGACATATCTGATTTACAGATTAGCACTTATTTGAGAATGTAAGTAAGAAGCATTTTAAACAACTAATTCTGTACAACTTACTCGTTTATCAATATCGCCATGCTGAAGTTGGACAAACCGAGCACTAATGGCAGCAATATAACTCTGCTGATTGGAAAAAGCAACACGTCCAGCACCTTTTGGGTATTTCAGCTCAGGGTCAGTATCAATTCCTGCATAACAAACTCCACCATAGAGACGGTCCATGATCATAGCCAGTTCAACTATTGAGAAACAAAGGAATGCAATATTTTAAATGAAAAATGAAAATGCACATTTATTTTAAAATTGACAAAATAGATAGTTTACCATCTCATTCAAACTATACCCATAGGCATTTCATTTTCCACATGCCAGTTTCCTTGTGCATACTGTGTAGCAGGCTACTACCACTTTGCTCTACAATCATTCTATTCCTTGTTTCTGTATGGAGTAGCAGTTTCCACTTCAAGTGCACAGAGAGCACAGCTAGGTTTTGAGCATGGGAAGTGGGAACTTCAAATAGTATAAAATCAAATACTTTAACAAATCAATATAGCATCAAAAAGCCATGCCAGTTATTGCAGTAATCAAAATTGCATACTGAAGTTTTACCTGTCAGTAAAACCTTAAGTTGTTTGTAGACAATTACAAAAAACAAACAACCCCCCCCCCCAAAAACCATGCTTTACCAGAAGCAGCAGTGAGTTATTTCAACCCAACTCTGCAGCGTCTGTATAGATTTGGTGCTTCAGTAGGGCTATTTGGTGCTTTTAGCTAAAGCTAATTCAATCAGCTATTAGATAAAAGCGCAAAAGAAGCCCAACTAAAGTGCCCGATCTATACAGATATCAGGTGACTAACTAAGATGTTCTCTCTTCTGGGCATGCATGGGGCAGGGCGCAGAAACACATTAAGCTTGAAGTAAAGCATCGTTTTTTTTCTAACATCTGCAAACAGCCTTACTAGTATACTCTGGAACATGGGGCGTAAAGCTGATATTTAATAGTGCTATTCAAAATTAGCTTTTAGTTAAAATTAATATTATGTCTGTTGTCAAATCCATTTAAAAAGTGAGCTAAAAGTTTTAATAGTTTAGTGAAGAGAAGACACTCGTGTAAATACTATGAAAGTTTCTATTTTACATATTAGTAGTAGGGTTGGAGTGTTGCTATAGCTGTGATGGGCCAGGAAATGCGAGAAAGAAGATGTTTTTGATGACATCTTTAATCAGACCAACTATATAGTTGGGAGAGATGCTAGCCAAGCTTTTGGGCACAAAATGTTCTTCCTTGGGTCTGTGAAAGAAGCAAATAAAAAAGTAGACAGGCACTTAAGGGAGAAGAGAATGGGTTTAAACTAGAAGCAGAAGATATAGTTCAATGTGATGAACAGCAGATGATGATTTTAGCTTAATTGGTCAATTTTACCAGAAAAAAGTGGAAGCATTTTTGACAGAAGTGACTGCACTGGCCAGGAAAAGGTCACCCTATGCTTTTACTGTAGTGACAAAATAGTATAGTATAGTATAGAATAATATCTGAGGTATGGCTACCCATAAATTTTTGGAAGTGAAAAGTGCAGTTAGGTTGTAGCATTCTAGGCTCAAGAAATAAAAAAAACTGCAAATGTTTTATGCCTAGACCTTTAATGTTGTCATATTCTGGCTTTCTTAATTTCCTGACAGACCCATCTGAGTACTAATCTTTCTGTGATCAGGTATATCACTGTGCCTCAAACAAACCATTGATGAAAGGACACTATGGAATACACTAAGAAAGATACAGTAACTGCAGTATTACAAGCAAGCTCAGAACCAGTAGCGGGGGTAGGCAAAGAAAATATTAAAGAAAAGCCTTTGTATGGCAATTTTTACATTACAACTTTGCCAAGTGTAGATTGAACTTCCATATTTTTAAGTTCATAATCATTAACTTCTTGATGAGTTCTGAAATTTATTTTTAAATAAATATAAAAGATGAACAGCACCTTGTACCCAAGGCCTATCTAGATAAATCACATAAGAAACAGTATAAATATGAGGAGATATTTAAGTTATTTCATAGTACTGTTGGTCATCTGCTATTAAGACAGTCTTGTGTCTTTAAACCTTACACAATGCATTACTGACAAGGGTACACCTTTAAAACTGTGACATTACAATTGTAGTTTTATACGTACCAGCTCTTAATGGCCTAGGGACTCCTCCAACAAAAATTGTTTTTCGGGGATCAAGAGGCTGTGAACCATCCATCACGAAGTCACTATCACTTAAGTTCCACGGACGGATCTGAACCTATTTAATAAAGGAAGAAAGCTGCATGCTACTTTAAGTTTCACCACACTGCAGCCACAGTAACCATCAGTCTGTCTCAGGTAGTCACAAGCCCATTAACTTAACCTGTCTCGTTTGTCTGTTTTCATCCTATTAATTCAAGACACCACAGTTTTTAAATCAGCCAACTGTTCCAGATGTTGAACTGTGCCAGCGGTAGCTTACTTTTGATTATCTTCACTATCCGCATCTCAGAAGCAGAATTAGACAGATGGCATGTATAGCCCAGAGGCCATTTACTGTTTACTTACTGGCTTGTCCTTGATAGTAGGACTGGAAACACATAGATAGAGCTTTCCATCTTCCTCAATACAGGCATCAATCAGTGCCTGAACAGAGCTCTCCTCTTGGAAGAGGAGGAACGCATAACCTGAAAATAAAGAATTAGCTGAAAATGTGCAATTTTTTCACCCTTACAACTCTTCACAAAATGCTTTTTGGCCAAACATTTGTCAAAATGAGAATGGAGATGTCAAAGCAATTCTTAATATGTAGACTGGAAACAGCTTCTTCATCTATACAACACTCTGTCATAGTTAATGACTTAAACACTGACTATAGAGAGTTTCTTTGTAATACACTTCTATGCCAACAATTCAGTCCTTCACATTTTCCAAATATGAGATTAACATCAAATCAAAATAAACACGTCTGCTACATCATACAGTGGAAATTTAAGATAATGATTTACTTAGGATCTAGAAGTATATTTCATTGCCAGCAATGGACATTATACAATGAAAATCCAACTTGGCACAAAGGGACTAATCTCAATTCCAGAGATTAGAGCAAAGTACTTTGTTGCATAAGTGACCTAGCAAGCCTTCCAAACACTGCACATATAGAAATTCAAATGCTAACTTAATGCTATGGTGCAAACATAAAAACACTTTTAAAACATCTTAATAGTTCTGGTTTTAATAGTAAGTATAAAACATTTTATTATGGAGATGCCCAGCAGTGACTCCATGCTATGGGCTGTTTTCTAAAGTGAATTTAAAAATAGGGCATATACTCCTGTTTCTCTTTAAAAGAAAGTCAGCAATAAGGGTAAAATTTTGCACAGGGTTTGTTTTTATGCCTTCTGTACTTATTATGTAGGTTTTCATTTTGTGCTCCTTTATAACTGTTCAGTAGGAAATCTGTGAAACTAGGCTCTGCCTGAAGTGTTTCCTTATTAGTCTGAATTTTAACGGTTGAGTAATAATCTCTCTTTAACAGCTCACTGTCTACACAAAATACATTATTCATTATTTGGATCTTGAATAGATTTAGGGCAATAGGGATAATGTTCTATAATTATAAAAAATGTTATAACAGAAAGTTTACGCATTTTTAACACAGACCTGGATGCTGGGGACTGGGCACATACAAACTGGACTGGATGATTGATTGGGGCTCATATAAGCTTTGTTGCCTGCTTGCTTGGGAACAGGGCACAAACAATCCTGTTTGGCTGGGTAAGGAGAGAACTCCGTGCAAAAAGACGGGCATGGAAAGCCTGATCAGTTGAGGGAGGACGAGGTGTTCAAGTCTGACTGGTGAGACAGGTGCACACACAAGCATGACTGAGAGGGGACCAGGAACACACAAACCTTTCAAGTCCAGTGAAACTTTTCTATCAGATTTTATTGTACAGCACAGGAGGTGAGTTCATACACAGCTACAGACACTTTTTTGCCACCTCCTCCTTAGACTCCATTCATTATTAAGCTTTTATAAAAGCTAGGAAATTAACATACACAACCCGATTATAAAATAATCAATACTGCCATACACACATGCTCACTGTACCGAAAACAATGAATAAATGGAATGAAAAGTTAAGTTGCAAGAGAACATACTCCTTATTCCTCCATCAAGTATAAACATAATAATCATTGCAACTATCATATGCCTAGGATTATGCAACAAAACCTTAATTTTTCCCTCTTTCCATTTGTCTGTGTGCATTTCATTACCAGATTATTCTTCCCTCAACACTGCTAATTGTAGATGGCTGGTAGGTACGTACTGTTAGGCAGCTAAACTTTTTATTTCTTTGCTTTTGTGGATGCGTTGGCTGTATTAGGCATCCAGCCACTATAGCTCCTTAACACCCGAGTGTTTTGTACTTTTCAACTGTATTCTTTTCATTGAGATTGAAAAGAGCTACTTATCTGAATATATCTTTTTCAAAAAACA